TGTTGAGAATATGCAAAACATCCACCAATTCAGCAGTTTCTACATGAGTAATTCGGTGGCCTGACTACATTCTCCAACCGTATAAACATTTTCACATCAACTAAGGTTCCGATCTAATTTTTTGAGTTGCTGATGTCAATTTGTTTTTGTTTTAGACTTTTTATGGTGATTTGGGTGGAGGGTCACAGGGCAGCTTGGTTTTCTTCTTACCTTCTTCACACACCCTCTCCAGACCTTTTCCAAGAATCCACCAGAGCTACTTGACTCCCACCGAACACCTGGCCTCTCCGACACTTCTGCCCACCTCCTCCCCTCTCTGGAGTCCTGTCTCAGGTTAATGGGTGCTCAAGGATGTGGAAAGGAACTCTGATAGCATAGTGGGTTACAGGTTGGACTGCAAACTGCCAAGTTAGCAATTTCTCCAAGGGAGAAAAATAAGGCTTTCTGCTCTCATCAAGATTTACAGTCTCAGAAACCCTATGCAGGATCACTATGAATTGGAACTCACTTCACAGCACACAACCACCAACTACTACCAGAGGATGCTGAATGAGGGAGCTCATTACTGATGTCAGATGGATCTGGGGTAAAAGCAGAGGAGATAAAAGATATTCATTTGTTTTATTGGCTATGCAAAGGCATCTGACTGTGTGGATCATAACAAACTATGGATCACATTGTGAAGAATGGGAGTTCCAGAACAGTTCTTTGTGCTCATGTGGAACACCTGTACAGAGACCAAGAGGCAGACATCTGAACAGAACAAGGGGATTCCGAATGGTTTAAATCAGAAAAAGTATGTGTCAGGGTTATAGCCTTTCATAATACTTATTCAAGCTGTATGTTGAGCAAATAATCCAAGAAGCTGGGTACACTATGTGAACATGGCACCAGGATCGGAGGAGGGCTCATTAACCACGTGCAACATGCGATGACACAACCTTGGTTGCAGAAAGCAAAGTTGACTTAAAGCAGTTACTGATGAAAATCAAAGAATACAGTCTTCAGTATGGATTACAAGTCAGTGTAAAGAAAACAAAAATCCTTACAACTGGACCAATAAACATCATGATAAAACAATGAAAAGATTAAAGTTGTCAAGGATTTCATTTTACTTGGATCCACAATTAACACACACAGAAGTAGCAGTCAGGAACCCAAAGGACATACAGCATGGGGCAAATCTGCTGCACAAGATCTCCTCAAAGTGTTAAGGAGTAATGATGTCATTTTGAGACTAAGGTATGCTCGACCCAAGCCATGGTGTTTTCCAACGCCTTGTATGCATGTGAAAGTTGGATAATGAATAAGGAAGACTAGAAGAATCGATACATTCACATGACAGTGTTGGAAAATTCTGGAAGTACCATGGATTGCTAGAAGAACAAACAAATCTGACTTGGAAGACATCCAGTCAAAATGTTCCTTAGAAGTGAGAATGATGACTTTGTCTCACAGGCTTTGGACAAGTTGTCAGGAAGGACCAGTCCCTGAAGGACATCATACTTGGTAAAGTAGAAGGTCAGTGAAAAATAAGAAAACCCTCCACAAGATGGTTTGACACAATGGATACAACAATGGACCCAATGATACCAATTGTGAGGCTAGTGCTGAGCCATACAGTGCTTCATTCGGCTGTGCACAGGGTAGCTAGGAGCCAACAACTAGCAACAAGGGAGGAGTGAAGGGTGGCTGGATGCACTCAGTGACCCCACAACAGAGGTAGCTGTGATTTCAGTGGGTCTGCTGAGGGTTGGAACGCAGCAAGCTGCCCGTGAACGACTCCCGAGTGAACACAGACAGGGCTGGACGGTGCCAGGCAGGCTCATTCCTGCAGGACTGCCTGGAACCCTCCCCAAGCAAGTCCTCTGACACGGACCCTTCCCTGTAGAGTCTTAGGATATCACTGGAGGTCCTTCCAGCCCTGGAATGGACCAAGAAGTCCAAGGCAGACTTAAGCAGAGCCAACGACAGCATGGGGGATGGTGGGGTGCTGAGACACAGAACCCACCTGGCTATGCAGGACAAGGGCCAGAGAAATGGCCTTTGCTGGCCAGGACCCTGGTATCCAGCTTCCATCATGGAAGACTCACATTTGGGTGGGTGAACAGCAGGGGATAAGAATGACAATCCCATTCTGCAGAGCCAGTCTGGATCAGCGAAGCCCACTTCCCAAGCATGAGAAGTATGGACGGTTGTCTAGGTCATAGAGGGGAGGCTCAGAGCTAACCAAGTGAGGAAGGAGAGGGGAGCTTCTCCTGGCTAAGGCGGCACCATGGGGTCTCTTTGGTGGCCATGGAAGCTGGTAGGAAGCAGCCTGTGCTCCTCAACTGAGCGAGGTACCCCCCCCCCCCCCCCGCCGGATTTCGCCCATGTTAATGCTCAGCTCTGGGCTCTGGGGGCAGTCTCAGCTCCTTCAGGTTCTTTTGAGGGGGTGGGCTCCCCTTTGAGTGTCTGGGCCAGATGAGTCCATTATTTGAAACTTTGCACCTCGACAGCTGTGATTTCAGTGGACCTCTGTATAATTAGGGGTGACCTACAGTGCTGGGGGGCACTCCTAGGCCCTCACCAGCTCCCACGTCCAGGCCAGCAGGTCCAGCATTTGAGGGATGGGAGCGCCCCAGGATTTGCCCAGGTTCCTGTTGTTTCGGGCTTTGCTTTGGCTGGGAGAGTACAAGGTTGGGGTGGGGGGCTCTATTCATTGAGTCAAGGTGAGGCCAAGACCACAAGGAACAAGAATCTGGGGCCCACCTGGGAGGTTGGAGTCACAGTCCTGGATTTGTTTGGGATCTGATGTATGACATCCACTGAAGCTATTTCCTGGGAACCCGCCTTCCCACTGGAGGACACTGGGAAAGGCCCTTACAGATGCCAGGGTGCTTTTGGGGTGAGCTTCAAGAGCTAACTGTGCCCCTGAGCATAGCAGCACTAAAAGACCCAAGGGTCAGCCCATCTGTAAGCCCATCTGCTGACCCAACCTCAGCCCATTCCGCCAATGAAGGGATCAGAGGTTCTGCCATGAAGGCCAATTGGCCAGGCATGGGTGGGCAGGGTCCCCAGAGAGTGCTGGAGCCCTATTCAGGGCCAGGACAGAGGCTCAGAGTCCCTGCCCTTGACCCTTAGCGTCCCTCAGACCCTGGTCAATCTGGTTCCACTTCCTCTTCCCACAGGCCAGCCCCTGTCCCTGCTGGTTTTACTCCAAGCCCTGGGGACCTGTTTTTATTCTTCAAGTCTGTCTTTTCTGTGTTCTCTTTGATCTAGGCCCGTCGTCTCTCCCAGCCCGGGGCTATTTTTCTGCTTGTCTCTCTGTCCTTTTCCCTGGAGCACCCCTCCCCGCCATCCCGTTTCTCCCTCCCTTCCCACCTCTCCGCCCTGCCTCCACTCATTTTCCTCCTGCAGTGCCCGTCTGCGCGTCGGGCTCTCTGCGCCTTTGTGGCTAGCTCCCGCCGCATCCCACCTCCCTCGCCCGTCCGTGGGCCCGCCCCGCGCAGCGTACCGCAGTGCCGTACTGCAGGGGCGCAGTGCACTGCGCCGCACGGTCAATAGGTGGACCCCCTCCCGGAGAGATAAAACCGCCGGCGCCGGCGTCGCCAGTCCCTCTGGCTGAGATCGCGGCTCCGGGTAAGGACACTCGGCCTCTGGACCCCCGCTTGGGCCCCGACTTCCCACAGAGGGTCCCCTCCCCGGTGACCGGTCCTGGGGCAGACAGGGACCAAGATAGGGCGTCACGCGGGGCTTCGCTGCGTGACGTTCGGATCTCAGCTGCACACCCCGCGCACCCTCGCCCCGCATCGAGCTCGGACCTCTGCGGGCGGCCCGGCTGGTGTGTGTGTGGGGGGTTGGTGGTGGTGGTGTGGGCAATGGGCACTTATTTACTTGGTTGCGGGCGATGACTGGGGTTAGTCTTCTGGGAGGCGGCAGCCGCCGCCCTGCAGCCGTGACCTTGGGAGCAACCAGGCTTTGAGGGGTTGGGGCCAGGGTCGCCGTGCTGGGGGGAGGCTGGGGTGGGTGCAGAGGGTGTCCGGGAGACGTAACGGGGGAAGGGAAGGCGGTGAGCCGGGAACCTGGCCACCCCACCCCCACCGCAGCGGGGCCCTGGCGGTGCCCACTGAGCCGTCCTCCACCACGCCCTGGGGTGCCGCCATGCATGCCTCGTCCTCTCCTCCAGCTGTCCTTCTACACTAACCTGGACTCGGGGTGGGAGCAGCCAGGAGTGGGGAGGGTGGGGGAACGGGTCTGATCCTCATCTTTGCATGTTCTTCTCCACCCCTCCCCACCGACGCCCACCGGGTGGAGGCACCAGTTTTAACACCTGCAGCTCTTGGCTTCTTGAGCCAGATTTTCCTCTGACAAGAAGAGGACCTCCACCCTGCTGCTTGCCACCTGTCAGGTCCATAGGAGGGAGGAGGTCTGTGGGGCTTCTAACCCCAGCACTTGTCCCTATCAGAACCGGGGGCCCAGCCTGTGTACCGTCCCCCCTCCAGCTGAAGAGAAGGAGGGGAGAGAAAGATGGCGCCATCCCTGCTTGAGAGGAATGGGATGTTGTTGACCAGTGTCTCCACAGTGCAGTGGGCCGGTGGGGACAGGGCCTTGGAGAGCCTTGGGTGACTCATCATCCAGGCTCCTCGGGTGATGCTGGGTGGGGCATGGGGCTCATTCAGCCTGGCCTTTCCTCGTCTCTCCAGATGAGGATAAGTCTTCTTCATCACGGGGCTGGCGTCTGCCGGCACTGAAGCCCAGATACTTACAGCCCATCAGGCCTGAGTGAAGGTTGGGGGGTGCACAGTCCACCTGAGCTGGCCAGTCGGGCTACTCAGGTCACTCGGGGCAAGGGGTGTGAACAGGTACTTTGCTCCCACATGTGCCAGGGAGCATTTTTTGCAGTACCCAAAACCCCCACATCCCATTACTATACAGCCCTGTAGAAACACTGCTCCACAGACCCTTCACCCCAAGTCAGAGCACCCCAAGTCCTGCCACCTCCTCACACCCCGGACAGAATGGGCAAGGAGAAGACCCACATCAACATCGTGGTCATTGGCCACGTGGACTCAGGCAAGTCCACCACAACCGGCCACCTCATCTACAAATGTGGGGGCATCGACAAAAGGACCATCGAGAAGTTTGAGAAGGAGGCGGCTGAGGTGAGCCCAGGGCACCCATCTCCCACCTTCACCCCTGTCCCAAATGACTGACTCAGGTCACTTCTTCCAGATCCAGAGGCTATGAGAGTTGTGGGGGAGCCGTGTCCCAGATAATGGGGGACAGTTGGGGAGGCTCCAAGGATGTGCCTGGGTTTGCCCCATGGTGGGGGATTTGGTCTGGACATGGTGGTCTGTCCTCCATGATGTGGGCAGCAGGACTCATGGGTTTGGGGGGGGGGGTGCTTGAGCAGCATCCATGCCCCAGGAGACCAGCATGGCTGGAGGTGAGGCTGCCCTCACTTGTCCTGGCTTCCAGCTACTATTAATAGTTGATTGATGGGCAACCAGCCACTGGCTCCATTTCCTCTGGCAGGACTTGGGGGAGTGTGCTCTTGGGGGGGTGGGGAAATCCCTGTTGCCCTGTAGAGGAAAAGGCACTGTCATTTGGTGGCTGAGACGTGTGTAACGGTTGTACTAAGTGGTCTCCACTCTCAGGGGTCATGTCTAGCCCTGGGCCTGGGAGAAGTCCACACCTGGGACAGCCTCTGAGGGCTCTCGTCAGGTGATAGCGGGGCTGAATGGGGTGTCACTGGCCTGGGTTGACTCCCTGCCCAGGTGGGGTGTTCGGAACTATGTGCTTCTGTGTGTGGTCCAAACAGCTGCGTCACTCCTTCCTGTGGCTTTGTGGGGAGCAACAGAGGGTGTTTGGAGGGCATCTGTTCTGGCCTGTCAACCTCTGAGCTGTCTAGGCTGCCCCTCCCAGGTGGACAGCCTCCCTGAGAGCAGGGAGCTTGACCCCAACTGGGCAGTGGTGAAGCAGGCGATGGGAAGTCTCACTCTGCTGCCCCCAGGCCCCAAGGCTTGCAGAGGTCAGGCCCAGCCTTCGTGTGTGTCTTCTGAGTGGGCTGGCAGAGGAGCCTCAGAGATACTTGGAAACCCTTGCTGGCTATAGAAAGAGCTGGAAAGATGGCCCCTCTGGGGCAACCTCCTCCCAGTCCTTCCGTTTGTTTTGTTTTTTTTAAATATTCTATTATGAATTATGTGATAGTTTATATGGGAGAACATTTGCTTTACATTCATCCTATCATATATCATTTCATTGCCATGGTTACAATCCCCTCCTTGCATCATCAACCAACTAAAGGGTATACCCTACAAGCCTGCCCCCCACCCCCAGGTTGTCAGCACAGAGCCCCTCTCCCTCTCATTTCTTTTGTTTTTCAATTATGAAGAGTGATTCTCCAATAGCCTGAGACACCCTATTGGTGGGGGGTCCTGGAAAACAGGAAAAGGTGTTAATCCAAACTAATGGTCCCTCTCAAGGTAGCTCCAGGCCCTCATGCCACCTACTGGTGGACATAGGAAACTGTGTGGCCGGCTGGACCTGGACCGGGTCAGATCTGGGAGCAAGGGTGGGGCTGTGCCTTGAGGATCCCTAAGTTGATCCCCTTGTTCTGGGCGGGGGGAGGGAGGGCAGATTCCTGGGTCCCAAGCAGGGGACAAGGTAAACCTGGAGCCTGTTTCATGGTGATTGGGTAAGGGCTGGGGTGAGGATGGGGGTGGGCAGCCTGGTGGAGAGGGCTCTGAAGACGCGGGAAAGTGAGTGCTGGCCTGGGCATCTGGCTGGGCCCCTGATTGCCCCTGCCTTGTACCTTCCAGATGGGAAAGGGCTCCTTCAAGTACGCCTGGGTACTGGACAAGTTGAAGGCCGAGCGAGAACGTGGCATCACCATAGACATCTCCCTCTGGAAGTTCGAGACCAGCAAGTACTACATTACCATCATTGATGCGCCGGGTCACCGAGACTTCATCAAGAACATGATCACTGGCACATCCCAGGTGGGTGGAGGGGCGTGTGGCGGCAGCAAGGGAGGGCCACCACAGCCACCTGAGGGAGGTCCTGAAGTCCTCGGGACAGCCAGGTCTCCTCTGTGCTACCAAGCTTTGCATGGTCAGCTGTCCACCCTGCCTGGCACCGAGCCTACAATTAACCAATGAAATGCCTCTGTGTCTCCACTGGACAGGGATAGACAGAAAGACAAAACAACAAACTGCCCTCATGGACACTGGGACATAATGTGGACATACCAGACACACTGACATGGTCCCTTCACAGACAGATGGACATAAAGGCCATGATGGGACACAGGATGTGGGCACCCTCACACACGGACACCCAGACACAGCCCACACTAGTGCCAGGCTCTGAAGTAGCAACAGGCTCCTGCCAAGTGCTTAGACAACTCGAAGTGAGTCTTATAGTCTCTCTAAGGCTGGCAGGTGAGGGTGCAGGACCAGAGAGGTTGAATGACTTGTCCAGAGCCACACAGCTCACTGGTGGTAGAGTTGGGTCTCCCCACCAGGTTTGGAGGGCCAGCCTGTGTGCCGTCCCTGGGTGGGGAGCTCCCTGGCCCTCCCTGGGCATTCAGCTCACCTGTCGCCCCTTGGCAGGCTGACTGCGCAGTGCTGATCGTGGCTGCGGGTGTGGGTGAGTTTGAGGCGGGCATCTCCAAGAACGGACAGACACGGGAGCACGCCCTGCTGGCCTACACACTGGGCGTGAAGCAGCTCATCGTGGGCATCAACAAGATGGACTCCACGGAGCCGCCCTACAGCGAGAAGCGATATGAGGAGATTGTTAAGGAGGTCAGCGCTTACATCAAGAAGATCGGCTACAATCCGGCCACCGTGCCCTTTGTCCCCATCTCCGGCTGGCATGGTGACAACATGCTGGAGCCCTCGCCCAATGTGAGTGCTAGTGGGCTGGGGGGTGGGTGGAACAGCTGGGCTGAGTAGGGGTCAAAGTCCCTACTGTTCCCAAGGGACCCTAACCTAGCTAGCAGGCTCTCCTTGGTGAAAACCAGTCCCATGGAGCCAGAGCCTGCTTGGGACCCGGGCTTCAGCAGTTTCCCCATGGGGCGGCCAGGGTCCTTGAAGGCTCCTCCTCCATCCCAGGCCACTCCCCAGTTTGATGTCTGCAGGGGCAGCTCCTTTTGTAAGAGCCACAAGGGTCATTTTCCACATGCTCTTGTCTACTGCCCGGGTCCCGGGTGCCTCAGGCAGGGCAGTAGAGTCTCAGCTCCTAGAGCCAGTGGCCCTGGATTCCTGTGTCCCAGATGTCATATTGATTGGTGGTGGTGGTGGCTCTACTCTTCTCTCCACTTTATGACACCTGAGACCCTGTGTTTAGGGCCTAGCAGGCTAAGGGCTCCCCTGGCTTGTGAGAGCCGCCACTTAGCCGGTCAGCACTGCAGCCATCCTGGCTGAGGATGGTGTGTGTCTGGGAGCTGGACTGTGGTCACCTGGACAGTAAGGGGTGGGAGGACTGAGTCTGCAATCTTGGGGGCAGAGCGGCCATCTCCAATCTGATGGACCCATTGTTGTTTACCTGCAGCCCCTGTCCTCCTGGGATCCAGCAGGCATGCTGGCTCCACCCTCTGCTTCCCTCTCAGGCAAGCTCTAGGTTCCACAAGGGACCTCCCTACCTGCCCATGGTGTCCTTACCGCCCCAACACTCACAGGAGCCATCTGCTTGACCTGGGGTATTCCTGGTATCTAGGCTTAGACCAGGAAGACCAGAGTAGAAGGATCTCCATCTCTGGGAGGAACCCTGGCTGTCTGTTCTCCTGGTGTGCTCTGGGTCGAGTGGCCCTGGTGAACTGTGGCTGTAGGCGTGTACCTGGGTCTGCTGATGGGGAAACCCTGGGCAGTGAGCAGTCAGCTGGGTGTGTACCTTTGGCATGGTGGTTGGGCCCGAGCTTCAGGCTGAGCTGTGGCCATGCTCTGGTCCCACCTGCTCTGTGCCTTGCCTGTTCAGGGAGAGGCTGAGGGTTGTGGTGGGGTGATCTGTCAGGACTGCCCCCGCTATGAAGCCCCAGTCTGGTTTGGGTCTGGTTCAAGGTGTGGATTAACTTCTTTGAGCCTACTTTTCCTAGGACAATGATGTTGTGAACGTGAGGTGGGGGTGAGGGGTTGAGGAATTAGGACCAAGAAGCAGACAGTAGAGAAGACTGGGTGTCAGCCAGGCTGCAGCCTGCCCCCCACCTGGGCCCCTTCCCCCCCCCCCATCACTCAGTCAGACACCTCCTTTGATTCCTGAAGACGCTGAGGGTGAGGGCCGGGGGTCCCTCACCTGGAGTCCATGCTCATTGGCCTTGTGGGCCTGGAGGCTTTCGGAGTTCTCTTGCGCTGCTGTGACTGAAAGACCATGAGTGGGCAGCTCATTTCCTCGCAGTTTGGGGGGCTAAGGTGTCAGGGGACGAGCTCTTGAGGAAGGCCCTGGTCCTGGGTAATCTTCAGGTGGCTTGGTGTCTGCCTTTCACCCCCCTGTTTCTGCAGTTTTTCTTCCTGCTAGCCTCGTCTCGTCTCTTTTGCATCTCAAAAGAGATGGATTTGAAACACACCCCACACTAATCCCATCGTATTAACATAACAAAGACAATCTATTCTCAAATGGGATTATAAGTATGGTTTAGAGGTTAGGATTTTTTTTATTTTGGCCAGATGTTTTTATTTGGTGGGGAGATACAATTCAACCCATAACATTCCTTGGGTCACTCAAAATGCATGTCCTTGCACAGGCAAAACACATTTATTCAGTCACATCACCCTAAAAGTCTTAAATCAATTCCACATTCCAAATCTTATAGTCTGAATCACCTCACACAAACATGGGTGAGAAGGTAGTTGTACTCTTCCCGAGGGCAAAACTCCTTTTCATCTGTGAATCTGTGACTTTGGAATATAAGCTAGTTCTTTCCAAAGTGCAGTGGTGGGGCAGCTCACAAGGTAGACATTTCCTTTACAAAGAAGGAATACTGGGCTTCAAGCAGGTTCAAAACCCAGAAGACCAATTCACATTAGCTCTCAAAGCTTGGTGTATTGGGCTACCTGTTGGGCTGCTAACCAGAAGGTTTGAACCCGCCATTGACTCCTCTGGAGAAACATGATGCTTTTCATTAGTGTAAAGATTTACAGTCTCAAAAACCCTACACAGGGTTTACGTGAGTCAGAACTGGCTCAATAACACATAGCAGCAGCAACTTAAGGTTTGCAAATAATCGTCTGAGATCATCTGGGCAAAGGCCTTTCTCCCCAGACTCTGGATCCTGGCCGCACTTATTGGGTTCTGGGTGGAGGCCCCTTGGCTCTGGGCTTCATTCAGCTTCTTCTTCCAGGCTCACTGGGATGACAACTCATAGTCCACCTAAGTGATGACCCTTTTCCCTTGGCTCTGGAAGGCCCTGCTCTTCTGCCCCTTGGGCATGGCATCTGTACCCCCTCAGCTTTGGGTAGCAGCCCCATCCCCAAGCACACCTTAATACTAACAGTCTTGGAGTCTGAAACCAAGTTGCAGAGATCTTGACTCTTTGAAATTGAGGCGGTTATGGCCCCACCCTTTGAAACCAAGAAGGCCCCTGCTTCCCATACGCCTTCCAGAAAGTCTGCAGATTTCCAGGTTGGTCCTGAGATGGTCTTTTTCTTTTCTTGTAGACCACAGATATAGCTCCTTGACCTATTTCCTGCCGGTACAATTCAAGAGGCAGGCAGTATTCTTTCCTTTTGTTTGTTCTCTGTTCCCTTCAGCCTAAGCTAATGGTTTTCTGCACTGGAGGTAGGTTGGATCCATCAGTTACTGGTTTAATCTCTTTAACAAAAGATTGTTTAAGCACACCCTTGGTGAAAATTGTAGGACATGTGTCTTAGTTTATACAACATAATTTTCCAGATCTTTAAGTTTTGCTTCCAGTGTGCACAGTTCATTAAAAAAAACAAAGAAACAACTTTTTATTGTGTAGAGTGAAGACTTTCAAAGCAATGATCAGCTTTACATTGAACAAATCAGATGTTTCATTTTGTTACAATGATTTGCACAGTTTATTTTTAAGTTCATCTCTTTCTTCTTGCATTTTACTATGAGCGGCAAGGAACAACCACATGTCCCCTGTAAGATCTTAGAAATCTCATCAATAATCTAAGCTGATCACTTAACAAGTTCTACTCTCCACCAAACCTTTGAACGTAATTCAGACAAGTGATTTGCCACTGTGTACAAACATTGCCCTTCCTCCATTGTCCAATCACGTAGTCACATTCAGTGTCCATCCTTCTGCAACATTCTGTTGCTGGTACTATATGTATTCTCCAAGATGATGGAAACTTTTTTATAGCTTTCCTAATTTCCTTCTGAGCCTTCACCAGAATTGTTTATGATGTCTGTAATACGACTAACAGTCCCTTTTAGGCAATTTAGGTTTTACTGTTTGCTGTTGAGTTGGCTCCAACTCAGTGACCCTATGCACAACGGAGTGAAACGCTGCCCGGTGCTCTGCCGTTCTCCTCACAGTGGTTACATTGTAAATCTTTACGGGAGCAGAAAGCCCATTGTTACAGACACTGTATCAATCCATTTCATTGGGGGTCTTCCCTTTTTCACCGGTCCTCTATGAAGCATGACATTCTTTTCCAGGAGCTGGTCCGTCCTGATAACAAAGTATATAGTTATCCTACTGTATAGTATAAAGTATGTGAGACAAAGTCTCATCACCCTCAGTTTTAAGGGATAATATATGTCTGTATTTCTTCTAAGATAGATTTGTGTCTTCTTCTGACAGTCCATAGTCATTTCAGTACTCTTCACCAACACCAGTTTGAATATATCAGTTCTCCAGTCATCCTTATTCATTGCCCTGGCTTTTATTATTGATGGTGGTGGTATGCCCTGGAGCCGCTTCCGACTCCTAGCGACCCTGGATAGGGTTTCCAAGGCTGTAAATCTTTACGGGAGCAGAAAGCTTCATCTTTCTCCCACGGAACAGCTGGTAGTTTCAAACTGCTGACCCTGATTGAGGTTAGCAGTCCAACTCGTAACTGTCATACTCTACCCATTACCAAATTCTAAAACCGTGTCTACATTTTAGGTATCTGTTCACACAGCATTCTACTCCTGGTACCAAAGTCTGTCTTAGATATCTAGTGCTGCTATAACAGAGATCACAAGTGGGCAACTTTAACAAACAGAAACTTACTGTATGGCAGTTTAGGAGGCTAAACCATCAGGGCACTGGCTTAGGGAAGGCTTTATCTCTTGGTCATCTCTAGAAATAGTCCTTGTTGCTTTTGAGCTTCTGCTCCTGGGTGATTTTCATGAAGCATCTTTCTTGTTTCTTTGATCTCTTTTATATCTCAAAAGAACTGGATATAAAACACACCTTCCGCTAATCCTGCCTCCTCAACATAACAAAGACAAACTATTCCCAAGTGGGATTACAGCTACAGGCAGAGAGATGAGATCCCACAACGCATAGGTTCTGGGATCCAGTTCAATCTATAACATGGCTCTGTCACTGGACCTCTTCCTTCTACCAGATGCCATGGTTCAAGGGCTGGAAAGTGGAGCGAAAGGAAGGCAATGCCAGTGGTGTGTCCCTGCTCGAGGCCTTGGACACCATCCTTCCCCCCACACGCCCCACTGACAAGCCCCTGCGCCTGCCGCTACAGGACGTGTACAAGATTGGTGGTAAGTGAGCGGGGCAGGTGCCCCTGTATCTCGCCCCATCTTCACCCCTGCTGCCCTGCCTCTCAGCCCTTCTACTGAGACCAGCGCCTGGTCTCTCCTTATCCCCACCTCTCCTCCCATGGCACATGCTTTCTGGGGGTCTGTTTACACTTTCCCCATCCACCCACCAGACTCCTTTGTCCGTCTGACTGTCCACCCTTCATCAGGGTCTCCCTCTTTCTAAGTCAGTGCTTAGCCTTTATCCAGAGTTGGGTGCACAAGGGTGACTCAATATGTCCCTCCCCTGGGGGACCCCAGCCTGTGGAGAGACAGACATAGTCCAGGAGTGAGAGATGCTGCTCATGACAAGAGATAAAAAGCACAACCAATATGGGATCTGAAGGAAGGATATTGAGGGGGCCTCGTGTGAAGTAGAGTGTCGCCTTCACCCCATACAGCGAATAGCATCTCTCAGTCTCTGTCACTACCCAGGAAACAAGAACGCCCCTCAGATCACTGACTGGGACACAAGCCCCTTAATGGAGAGATAAGACCTGCTTCAGACCCTGAAGGAGAGAGACGACCCCCCTGGGGCCCCAGACTAGGAGATAAGACCTCCCTCAGGCCCCTGAGAAGTCTGTGGCACAGATACCATTTCAAGACAGCTTTAGAAACGAGTACCTTGAGGTACTGGGCTCCATGCAGGATGGCCCCAGGTGCTTGCAGGTGGACTAGGCCCCAGTCCTGCCTTGGCCAGGAGCAGGTCCTCACAGTCCTCCCTCTGTGGGGACGGCTGCTGCCAGGTGCAGGTATGGGGTCCTCGGTCCAGCCAGTCCCCACTCCTTGCTTGTCTCTTGTCTTTGAGTTCCTGGGAACGCGCTCCTTCAGTCCTTTGTTTACCAACTGCACAGGGTCAGGTGGCTCCACTTCTGTTTGACCCTCCTCAAGGTTGCTGGGGTACTCCCTTCTTCCCACATGACCATAACCCCTCAGCCCAGTCAGGGAGGTGAGATCCCAGCTTTGTTGGTCCCCCTGGAATGCCCTTGCCAGTCCTCACAGCCCCCTCTGGTCCAGGCATTGGCACAGTGCCCGTGGGCCGCGTGGAGACAGGCATCCTACGCCCCGGCATGGTAGTGACCTTCGCACCTGTGAACATCACCACTGAGGTCAAGTCTGTGGAGATGCACCATGAAGCACTGAGTGAGGCTTTGCCTGGGGACAATGTCGGCTTCAATGTAAAGAACGTGTCTGTCAAGGACATCCGCCGGGGAAACGTATGTGGGGACAGCAAGTCTGACCCACCACAGGAGGCTGCTCAGTTCACCTCCCAGGTTGGTGGGTTGTGGGGCGGTAAAAGGGGGCTGCAGGGGGAGGGACTACCAGGGGCTGGCCAAGTGCTTCTGTCCATGTCACCTGGTCTTGGGAGAAGGCAAGACCCCTATGTCATAAATGGGAACACTAAGGGACTCAGTGAGAACATGGGGTCTCTCCCCACATTACAGATAGGGACACTGAGGGGCTCAGGGAGAACATGAGGTTCCCCACGTTACAGATGGGGACACTGAGGGGCTCAGGAGAACAGGGTCTCTGGCAGGAAGCACAAAGCAGGGTCAGTTCCAGGCCTTGCTTCTCCAACCTTCATGTGCAGCCTTGGGTCTGTTGGTCGCAACAGGTGGGACCTTCAGTCTTGGAGGGTCAACCTTTTTCCTGAATAATGCTGTCTGAGACACTTTGTAGTTTTCACTGCAACTCTCTCTGGTTGTTCCTTTATGGGACAATGATTGCACAAATGCAGTTCTATTGAGATTTAACTGAAATACGATGGTTGGGAGGGAGCCTGTGTTGCTTTCACTCCGGCCAGGGCTGACAGTGACGTGTTTCTCACTTGCTTTGCCAGGTGTCTAATGATGGGGTCTCTGTCTAGGGGTGGTGGGTCCTCCATAGGCCCAAGGGTGTGCTCTGTGAATGGAACTCCAGCCTGGTTTTCTGTTGACCTTCAATGCCACTCTGGTGCCAGGACTGGGCTTAGGCACGTCTGACCCTGAGTGTGATTCTGCCCTCAGGTCATCATCCTGAACCACCCTGGACAGATCAGCGCTGGTTACTCACCCGTCATCGACTGCCACACCGCCCACATTGCCTGTAAGTTTGCGGAGCTGAAGGAGAAGATTGACCGCCGCTCTGGCAAGAAACTGGAGGACAACCCTAAGTCTCTGAAGTCAGGTGATGCGGCCATCGTGGAGATGGTTCCAGGCAAGCCCATGTGTGTGGAGAGCTTCTCCCAGTACCCACCTCTCGGTAAGCTGGAGTCCAGGATCAGGCAGGTGCAGTCTGGGGGTGGGAGCTGACGGGTGAGGACAGCGGGCCATATTCCACTACTATGACATGCTTTGCTGCCTCTCCTAGAGCTCAGCAAGAGACTCAGACTCCAGCCCATTGACTGCAAGTGGGATGGTCACTTAAGGGAACAGTCACTAAGGACTACCACTAATCTAGTGGCAGAATTAAGACTGCCAGTTGGGCCCCAGCTATCCCATCCAAAGTGGTGGATTCACAGACCTGTATTGGAGAGCTGCCATATGCAAGGCTGCCGGGCTGATACCTGGGCCCATCCTAATAGCTGACAGGCTGTACTCCAGGCCAAATAGGCCTTAAGGGCCTTGTGGTTTATAGTCCTTCAATAAGGCCTTGGGAGAATCCTAGGTGTTCACCACTTCCCACACATACGGAGCTCAGAGCTTTATAGACAGGTGCCCTCTGCGCCCCAACTAGAAACACAGGTGCAGAGAGAAGCGCCCAGGATTCAGGGCCAGAGTCCTAGAGGATGCTGCTTGCGCTGAGTGCGCCTGCGCGCTGCATCTCTGTTGGGTTGGCCGCAGGCTAGGCGGCTCCTGCAGAGTTGGGAGTTGCTGCAGCGTACGCTGAGTGCGCCTGCGTGCTGCATCTCCGGCAGGGCGGGCCAGGCCGGGGGTGGATCCGGGCGGGGCCTCAACCCATCCTTCCCGTAGGCCGCTTCGCCGTGCGCGATATGCGGCAGACGGTAGCTGTGGGCGTCATCAAGAACGTGGAAAAGAAGAGCGGTGGAGCTGGCAAGGTCACTAAATCGGCGCAGAAGGCGCAGAAGGCTGGCAAGTGAAGCGCGGGCACCCGCGGCGCGGCCCCCC